AAAATCATACCAAACAGATCAATAAACTCTTTAAATATTAAGTAAATGACACAAGTAAATTGTCATAAATGTAAACTGTATACCTACCGCTAATTAAAACACGTTGGTTTGGTTTGGGTTGCTTTCGTTACGGCAAAGCACATGAGGGCTATTTACCTGAAAGAAGGGATGCCTTAGTGGAGGAATTTCTAAGAGGAACTTCCAATCGTACACACGTTACACATAATGAAAACGCGCAGGCAACCAGTCCGATTTCCGGGATTCCAGCCCCGAACCGAACTACTAGTGTTCAGCGACTCGTCCGCTGGTGGGCCGTTAATTAAAACAGAGCTAAGTGAGCAATTTCAATGCTGCCTGCCTCCACTAAAATGTTGTAGTGGGACTTATCGCCTTTGTATTACAGTAACATCAAACGTCTACGAGTTGTATTATGGCAAGGAACACATCATTATGTCTATTGCTTACGTGGCCTTGATAGGCGGCGTTAAAACTTTGTCCAGCTCCTTCCTAATTTTGAGAATGAATCCCGATCTTATGGTCTTCCATCTTTCTTCCCTTACCACCAAACCACTAGAAAGGGCTTTCGGCTCGCCATATATTTTGAATACCCCCATACTGCATATTTAACCACTCAAACCGTTTCAGGGTGTCGAACCAGAATCCGACGATACGGTACCCAGCATCGTTAACCACTTTACCAAACAGGGCGGTAACAAACAATGTATGATTAAAAGGGTTTTTAAACTACATATTTCAGAAAACTCAAAAGAATACCTCCTTCGACTAAGATTCTCTCAAGATTACAACAAAACAAAATTAAAACACTTAACTTTTTTTCTTAAAATTTATCCTATAAAGTAAGCTTGGTCTTATTTATATACGGAGAGCTCTTCTTTTCGAATAAATACAATACACGTAACTTCCGGTTGATATTTCTAATCCTGAGCTGGCAACTAGAACTAAAATTTTAAATACACACTAAAAGCATAAATAATTCAAATGGGTTTAGAATTACTTCTTTTTTGTTTACTTTCATGAAAAAGCATTTCATGAAAAATTTTGGTTTTTACCATTATGATGAAGTTTGATGGAAGTGTCGAATGATATGGCACATTAAATTGTTAAAAGAAAATTATTTGTAAGCAGAAGTATTCAAAATCTGGTATTTTAGCTCTAAATTTAATAATGTTAAAAGTATTATACGTAATAGCTAAATAGTACATCAGAGGGGAATTTCTTCGTAAGCTATAATTTACATCTAAATTAAAACTGGTTTCAAAAGACTAAAAGCTCCGTGAAAATAGCGATATTAAGGAAGTATTTTCTTCTTTTTCTTTCAGAAAATTCTGTTGGGTTTTCCCTGTGAACTTTGTGTTTTAGTATTTCTTAAAAACATGATTTATCTTAGTTTTATCATTACTCAAATTCAGGAATTACGTCATTTTACGTCAAGGTTGCTTTTATCAGCCAAACAAGATTTCAATACCCGATACCGTTTTATACCAGAAGTCCAAATATTCACATTAAATGGGGAGAGATGAAAGAAATTTCATGTCAGAATATTCAAAAAATAAAGGCAGTTATTACATTATATTTTTGAAGAGAACACCCATTTGCTGAATTGAAAATTTTTTATTTTTTGGTTACTTGCATTTTATTTCAAAAAAGTTTATATAAGTAAAATATTTTTATTTCCGTAACAAATAAAGACCACTTTTGCCTATTCCAGGAAGGAACGTACAGATAAGATATTTTTATTTCCATAAATAAAATAGAAAACAATTTTCCCGAAGAAAATGAAGAGTGAAATTATTTTTATCTCTAATATACCTCTTTATTTCTTTTTAAGTTTCACTATTTCAGGAAAATTCATATAAACATTTTTCTTTTTCATTTCCGTAAATCAAACAGAAAATACGTTCCGATGTACACGGACTACTAATAAGTATTTGGACACCTATGCAAATGACGATATCTGCTGTCCTAAGGTACGTCACGGACTCCGCCGGTATATATAGTGTAGGAAACAGCATCGGCTTTAGTCGCATGCAAGATGCCTCGCAGTTTGGAGCTCTCTGATTTCGAGAAAGGTATAATTATCGGGTATCACAAACGTGGCCGATCCTTAAGGGATATATCTAGCGATCTGAAGTACCCAAAATCGACAGTGGCCTATGTGATTAAGAAATGGAAGGTGAGTAGTAATTGTTGGAATGTGTCCCGAGTCGGCAGACCAACGAAACTGGGAAATAGAGACCGACAAGTGCTGTCCAGAGAAATTCGGAAGAACCGCACCCATCTGATGGCCCTCCTCCGCGAGGAGTTTCAACAGGCATCCGGGAGTATTGCTTCAGTGAATACCATCTATAAGGAAGCACATCTGCTTGGTTTTCATGGTCGTGCTGCTGCCCATAAGCCTTTAATCACAAAGTCCAACGGCGCTGCTCGGTTAATGTGGTGCACAGCACGTCGAAATTGAACCGTAGATCAGTAGAAACGGGTTCTTTGGAGTGACGAATCAAGGTTCACCCTTTACCGTTCGGATGGCAGGGTCTGGGTCTGGCGTCTACCTGGAGAACGTCTCCTGCCAGAATGCATTGTGCCAACAGTCAAGTTCGGCGGAGGTGGAATTATGGTCTGGAGGTGTTTCTCCTGGTACGGGCTGGAACCTTTGTCCCCACTCATGGTAAGCTCAACTCCGATGTCTACTGCACTATTTTGGATGACAATCTACTCCTTACGTTGTGGCAGTTTACGGGTTGGACCCCTGTTACTTTCAGGACAACAATGCCAGTTGTCATGTTTCGACGTTAACCAAGGCTTGGTATGGTGCCAATGGAGTTCATCGAATGGACTGGCCAGCCCAGAGTCCAGACCTGAACCCTATCGAAAACCTCTGGGACGAGTTGCATCGCCGAATTCAGGGGTGCACTACCCGTGCAAAATCAGTGAAGGAATTTCTATGTCTTGTCCAAGCCGAGTGGAAGAAAATACCACTAGCTGTCATACAAAGACTTGTGGAAAGTATGCCCCGGAGGGTCCATGCTGTAATTACCTCTCGTGGAGGCTCTACCAACTATTGATTTTGAATAAAGTTAGTTTTTCTTTTCTATCACAAGTGTCCAAATACTTATTGGTAGTCAGTGTAGTTAAACAGAGAACGTATCTTTTATTGCTTACACTTTTTAACTAACCATTACACAGAAAAGATTATTCAGGTGGAATTTTTCTATGAAAAAAAAAAAAAAAAAAAAAAAAAAAAAACAGAAGACACTTTTCCAATCAAATTTAACTTCTCTTTAAATTAAAACTAATGTGAATTGTGTAGATCCTAAACACAAGCAGGTTTATTGGTAACAAACGAGCAGTTATTTGTGCAATATTATAATGAGTAATTTATTGTAAATAATGTAAAAAACTAAAGTCCAAAAAACAGTTGTTTTTGAGTACGTTTCTAAAACTAAGGAAACTTTCCTAGTTACGTAAATATGTATTTTGTGAGAAATATTCTTTTCTTAGATAAGGAACCAACGTTACGGCATCAAGACTGTTTAGTCAACTTTGAAGAAAGGAGTATTTTTATGGCTAAACTATAATCCTCAAAGCAAACAAAAAACAGTAAATCTATACCTAGTACATAAATATTTTTCCATTAACATTTAATATATATACAGCAAATTTGGTAAACACTACTGATCAGTCTGTATATAGTATAGATATCTCAATACATATTATAGATTTAGGTGTATGTTTTATTTTGTTCATGACTAAACGTGTGAATTTTTGTAGCGTGTATGTTTTTATTAAATTAATTACCGTCTTTTTTATAATAATTTTATACTTATTTACTGATTATTTTATGCAAATATAACTTTTTGGTAATTTAGTTTTAATTTAGTCAGACTCAATTACTTAATCTCTTAAATAATTTAGTCTGAATTTATTTCCTATATATTGTAGATCTTATAACTCAGACTTGATCGAATGAGTAGCAAGAATAACTTGAGCACCACACATGTACATGGAATTGAAATCCTCCCAACGGGGAGTAGAAGATAATTATTTTTTGTCCCCAAGCTTTCGATATTTGGCGAATTATCCCCAACTTGTTAAAATCTCAAGTTTTCAGAAAACATTTTAGAAGCCGAGCGATTTTTCTCGAAACTTCTAAAAGTTTTATTGAAAATCAGAATTCATTTCGGTAATTTATTCCCATCGAGCAACTTTGTAAACAAAAGACTGAGTAATTATCAGACAGTTGTTTAATTTAAAGCAGAAACTCGATACCGTCTCCCGATTTGGCAAAAGTTTACAATTGGGTGCCCCCTCTTTTTTTGGTGAGTCATTTTTGACGCTAAGATCGGTGCCAGGAAGGCATAATTTCAAAATGGCCTCTAAACAAAACCAAAATAAGAAATTAAAGAATTACACAAACTCGTTCTCCATGTACACATCGATTTTCGTGGGCGGTCTAGAAAAGCCATAGAGCGAGCTTGGACTTGCCAAGAGGGTGGACCGCGCAATACCTACCTACCTACACATCATCTATTTTCACTTCCAAAAAAATCAGGAAACTAAAACAAAGTTAAAACTATCATGGTAACCAGAAAATGGGATTTCATCGCCAAAACTGAACAAAATTTGTCGCTAATCGAAGGGGCACCTAGTTCTACACTAGAGACCCTGATTCTAATGAACAGTTGAAACTTTTCTCTTGAGTTTTGATGGTTTGTGATATTTCTCGCATGGTTAGGAAAATATCACCTGGTATTCTCCATCCCTGGGCTACATATAGCTGTTTATTTCGCTATATAAATTATTTATCTCAAAGATTCAAGTCTTTCCGTTCACCTGTAAGTTATTTAAAGGACCCGTAACACGCAGCAATAAGATAAACAAAGTGTAGTTGTTATTTTATGAAGCAAACTGATTCGACATCCTGTAGCTACCATTCAGCAGGACTAAGCAGACAAAACTGGAAGAATACAAGATAGACTCACTTTATCTCTTGCTTGTTGCTGGAGGTAATGGAACTGAGGTAGGATTCCGTAAAGACGCTATCCGTTGACGTGTCATGGACTCCATCATCGTTGCCAGTGACAGGTACGATTGGCTTCCGACGAGCTGAGCTGGAACGAAATGAGTAGAATTTCATGTCCACTCCACTTTCCGTAGAGATGGAAGACGTTGGGGACTTGAAAACCTCTTTATCATTTTGCAGAGATGAGGGAGGAGTTTTATCACCATTTTCTTCGGGTTCTTTCATCCTGGAAAATACATTTAGTTCGGTCTTAACATTTAATCTACATTTACACTTACAAATTCTGAAGTATATTCGTTACCAGTGTTCTATATTCACGTAAATCCATATTACTTCTGGTCGTTTTCATATAGCTTAAAATCAGTGAATCTAATACTACCTTATTTAAAATATTAAAAAAAATTAAATTAAAATATTCGTTTTTTTCCTTGGATCATAATAATTACTCTTCTCTCAGGATTAATTAATAACAATTTCATTCGTATTTTTAGTTTTTCAGTTACATTTTTAAGTAAATCAGAATAATTTTAAAAATTACCTTTTAATATAAAGCTAAATAATGCCGATATATCTTTCTGATACAGTGACTAATGTATAGGAATTCAAAAATGACACGAAAGGTCACGAGAACCTTTCAAGAGTCTGAGTATGTCAGTGTGTGTGTGTGTGTGTGTGTATGATTATGCCTTGAGGGCTATCTGCAAAGCCTTGAGGGCTATCTGCCTAAGAGGAGGGATGCCTTCGTGGAGGACTTTCTAAGGGAAACTGGCTCGTATACACGTTACACATGGAAAAATCACGAAAATGCCCATGCAGCCAGCCCGTTCGCGGGATTCGAACCTCGGACCGAACTACCAGTGTTCAGCGATTTTACCGCTCGGCCGCTGGTGGGCACCTGAGTATGTCAGATATTTCGAATTAGAACACCAGAGAGAAGCGAAAAACGCTTCATGAATTAATTCCCAATGATCATAAATTACGTTTTAAAGATGAAGTTTGTTACAAATGTTTTTATTGTACAACATATTTCAATCGTACTATTTCCAGGAATCTATACAGAGTGTTTACAAAGTTTTAGGGCTAAATTCTTACAAAATCGAAAGCTGAGAATTCCTTATCCTTTAAGATACAATTCTACGTCTGCCTAAAACCTGGCACATCTGCTTGATTCTTTTTTACAACTTAATTTTTAAAATAATGTTTGTCTGTTTTCCTTAATCTCTTCGATGCTATTGAAATAATAATTTGGTTGGTTTTTATTTGATTATGATAAAACACTCGATGGCTAGCTGTCTACCTAAGGGAAAGGATGACTTCGTGGAGGACTTTCTAACGGAAATTGGCTCGTATACACGCTACACGTGTCAAAAACCACGAAAACGCCCGTGCAGCCAACTCGTTCATCGGTTATACTACCAGTGTTCAGCGACTTCAGCCCTCGGCCCTAATGCTCCCTGGAGTAAGATTTTCCTAGAGGAAAGAGAAAGTAGTCTTCAGGCATCAAATCACCTGCAGACCTTTTCGATTAATCAAGGGTATGATTGAGAGTTGTGATAATTTTCTTTGATAGAAACTGTTGAATGAGATTGGAATTGGGTGACGGCATAATGTCGTGCAATAGGAAAATCTTATCTGATCGAGGATTTTTAGATCCAAAGACCTAATTCTCTTCAGAAATGCGATCTGCAGCAAAATATGCCTTGTAAATTATCCCTTTCTAAATTAAAAAAAGTTCACCAACGTGATCTCTACTACAGATTTCTAAAATCTAAGTTTCTTTAGCCATAATGAATCTTCTCCAGCCCATGCTGATGATGGCCGTTTTGAACCAGCATCATAAACAAAGTATCAAGTTTTATCTCCAATCAATTTATTTGAAGTATTTTATTTTTTCCTCCTAACAGCAAAATTTTTCTTTCTTAGTTTATGAACCCATGACTATCGATATTCACTGGAACAAAGAAAAGGATTAAATACATAGAAATTAGTGTCCGTAAACCGACATTTTTGGAAAAACAAATTTGAGATGTGATTAATAAATGCGCTCTATTATCATTTGGAAGGGTTGATGGAATTTGCTAAAAATTCTGGGAGACTTTATAGACGCATTGTACATATGTCACACATATTATCTTAGTCAACACTCTCAATAAGAATCACACATGTTTGGACAAAAGTTTTTTGTGGAAACAGTTATTACAGAGAAAGATTTTACTATTAGCGCAGGGGATGTGTCTTAAAGCTTCCGGAGTCTCACCGAGAAATATTGCAGCACAAATATATTAAGCTAGTTTATTAATATTGCATTAAGAAACTTATGAAGTAAAAATAAGGATAAGTGATAAATATTACACCAAACTGAATAAACGAATGAAATTACACTTTACTGTACACGCAATTTTACTTTAACAAAGAAGGTCTTCAAACCTTGAAATCCCAGTTTTTCTGAAAAACTACCCATCTACTCATCTAAAATACCTAACAGTCGAAACTTAGCTGTTAACATTCGATAAACAGGCAGTTAAAAATTGTCAAAACTAAAGAGATTTGGCAATTCGGGGCTATGTAGCGACATGCAAAATTTTCCAAATGCAAGTTTGAAATTTTTAAAGCCCCCAAGCTGATCGATTCAAGCAGGGAAAATATAAAATGATTAATGAAGAAATAAAGTAAAAAAATAATTGACTTTCAATACACACTAAACATAAATGAAGCATTAACCAGTTAACTGTGGCGCCCTCGTTTAAGAGTGCGCACCGTTTTTGTGTCGCCAGAATCGAGCCATGACGAGTATATTTGTCAATCAGAGTAAATTGAGCTGGTAAGATACTGGATGAAAAAGATGGGTTTATTTTATAAAACTGAAATATTTATTACTAATATTTACTTATTTGGTTACACAAGCATATATTACATACATATTAAACTAAAAATACAATAAATTAAATTAAATATTATACATATAAAAGTAAGAATTTAAATTCCTGCTGTGGAGTGATATTTAGCGAAACAGGGTACTATACATAATGGGACTTTGCAATCGAACACCAGTAACGCGATTCCTTTCTGATCTTATGTTTGTAGCAATGCGAACACCTTCGCGTAGGGTTGTTTTTTTTCGATGTTCCGGGTAATCAGCAACATGATTCCCGCCTAATTGGCTTATGTTAGGTCTAAATGGCCGAGTTTGTGTCGATTTATTTCTTTCAATTGGATACGTCGCAAAAAGGTTTTCAATAAATTTGAGCAAAAAGTTGATACGCGATAATGTTTTATTATTTTTTATATAATATGAATGCATTCAAGCGCATAATGTCTAAGAAATGAAGAAATATCTTTTTGTAGTACTTTTTGAGTAGTTTTCTTGCTGCGGAGTACGCTATGATGATTCCAACGCTCATATCCACTCCACCCATTTTTTTATTATAATCAATCACTAACTCCCGTTTCTTTGTTATTATTATTTCTTTTCTATTACACTGCTTTATACGCATGAAGAGTATATTCGTCAATACACAAAATCGTGCCGCTTCTCCATAACGAGTATACTCGTCAATCACAGTTAACTGGTTAAAAAAAATTAATGGTAATTTAATGCTTGAAAAATTAAATCAAAATACAAGCACTCTGGAAATCACGCATTATTAGCACGACATAAACGTCGCCCAGACCGGAAAGAGGTTAGTGATTCTGACTGTGAAAATGAAGCGCCCGGCTTCGAATCCCGGAGAAGGCATGGATGTGATTTATTCGTTCCCTCATAGGAGACAACACTGGCCATCTTTAGAACCAAGACATTTTGATTGCGGAGGGATATCTTTGGAGAATTATTGTAATTACCTCTGGTTGGTATTTACGCTATCTATGGGAAAAGCCACAAAAACAACCATGCAGCCAGCCCGTTCGTCGGGACTAGAAACCCAGACCGAACTACCAGTGCTCAGTGACTTTACTGCTCGGCCGCTGGTAGGGCTGGATATCTGAAGGGAGGATTACTAGTGTTTTAATGAAAAAATTTTAGCGTATCTTTTCTAATCATCCCAGCAAAAACAGATACTTTTTAGAAGCTTCCATACTAAAAAAATGTTCAAAATAAATTACATCAACGGATATTTTTATATACAGAATTTAGGAGAGTTTTCATATTCATATAAAACAAAAACTGCATTTTAAAAACTAAGTCCTGCAAAACATATTAGTAAATTAACGCTCCTTCAACAGATGTTCGAATTGCAAAATTCGAAAATAATCGAGACAAGGTCAAATTTCTCATTACCATTTACTGATTTCGTAAAATATTCCTCATTTCGAAGCTCTTCCGATTTCAAGTTTAGAAATAATAATTGTTTTCCTCTACAGAAACGAATTTTATTGTAGCGGTGTAAAATGGGGAATAGTAGGAAATATTACTCAAGTCACTTCCTTCTCTGTTTCTCAACTTAACCGAAATCTGTTAATTGGAAACAAGGTTTAAGTTTGTGATGCGTTTTTAATGATATATAAAATTTAATTCAAAATCAGAATTTATTCCAGTCGGACCTGAGGTAAACGAATGGCTCGGGCTGTGGAGAGTCAAATTACTAAAAATTAGAAACATTTTTAAGAATAAATTTTACTTTTTCAAGAAAGGCAGTTTTCAAATAACATACCTAAAGAAAATAAAAGGACATCCATTGTTGCCACCGTGTTTTATAAAAGAACATCTTAGTTTCATTTTTTTTTAAAGCTAGAAGGTAAAGAGACATTGTATACACAGATGAATGTGAATGTTTGTTACCGCTGTCCACTTTTTGAATAAAATTTGAAAACTAGCTGTAAAATTTTCAGAACGTAACGTATCTAAACTAAGGGTAATTGGGGTAGAGATAAAATATGAAACATTAAACTATATTTAAAAAATATGTGTTTTAAAATATTTATTGGGCTGCCGTGATTAAGCAAAATCCTTTGTGTCTAATCCTGTTAGTGACACTTTAATTTGTGTTACTTTTAATACAAAGTTCTGTCCAAGCATAAGGCTTTTTATCAATACAGATTCAGAACACTTTAATAGAAAATAAAAGTTATAAGTTACTGAAAATAATTGCTACGCGAAAAATTTGTTAATTTATCGTAGGAAACCATGCCAGGGTTATTTGCCTTATGATAGACGCTTTGTGCTTCCTGGGAACTTTCCAATGGAAGCTATTATAGTTCGTATTTATAATGCACATGAGTAAACCAGAT